CTTCACTTACGTCCACACCACAATCACGCTTTTTCGAAAAAAATCGAAAGAATGGAGGGTTTTTTCTGACATTGGTAAACCTCTTTCTACGAGGAAGAGCTCTTTTGGAAAAAGGCGTGTGTGGACGGGGAAGAGGGAGTTCTTGCGAAAGAATAGGAAAAAGCACAGGTTCCCTGGTGGCCACTCCGCCCATAGTAATCACAGCTGAAATGGCTGATAGCGTCAGTTCAGTATGGATGCTATCTTTCGAAAAAGCAGATCACTTTTTCGATGCGCTTTTGCTGTGTAGACGCTCTCTTTCGGAAGAAGATTTGTCAGAAGATCTCTTCTGGAAAAGCTTCTTCCAAAAGAAGCCTGCAATCTAGACAGAGCCCCAGATACCAGAGGGGGTCCAGGGCAGGCTGGTAATCAGCCAGTTTCTGGGGTGTTCAGCTGGTCCTGGCCTCACAGATCTTGCACAGCAGAAGGCAGCCAAGGAGATGCCAAGAGGCTCCAGAACTGGTCCCAGCATTTGGATCTTTCTTCAGCACAGGGTGCAACAGAGGAAGCAGCCGCTCGCCAGGTAGATGGAAGCTGATGGCTCCATCTGTCCAGCGCTGGGTCTGAGGCACAGGCTAGACATGGGGCCTTGATTCTGGGACTTCCATCTCACTGACCAGAGAGAAAGGTCAGTACATGTGGGTTGAACCTGACCCATCTGGAAAGACAGGGACGCCCCAAATGCTGGGACACCCGAGGAAGGAGCCAGCTGGCTCAGGGAAAAGGAGCACAGGTCCTGAGCTGGAGTTCAAAGAGGCAGGTGTCAGGTTTAGCATCAGTCTTGGAGGCCCTGACTTTCCCCTGGAACCTGCAGCGTGGCTGGCTGGGGCGCTGGTTTGGCCAGGATAGACAGTGTCTTGGCCTTTGCTTTTCTGTGTGAACCTGGAGATTTCCTGTGCTGGGATCCAGCCGACTAATAAGAACATAAGAACGGCCAGATTGGGTCAGAGCAAAGGGCCATCCAGCCCTGTGTCCTGTCTGCCGACAGGGGCCAATGCCAGGTGCCCCGGAGGAATGTACAGAGCAAGGAATCGTCAAGTCATCCCTCCCCTGTCACTCATTCCCAGATTACGAAAACCAGGAGAACACTTTAACCTCCCTGGACACTCGCTGGTGGATTTAAAGTAGCCCTCCTTCTAGAAAAACCCTTCAAAGCCAGCCTGCAACGTGACACAAGCAGAGCTGCGCTTCATTTGCAAATGTAACACAATCAAATTAAGACTGAGCAAGGATTTAGAATTGTTCTCTCCCTATAAAGGATTATTCCCTCTCTTGGTAGTCACCCTCCCAATCAGCTGCTGGGGGTGAGCGACAGCCACCCTGCCTGAATTGCCTCCTCAGCACTGGTCCTGTCCTTGATAAGTGGCTCCTCCTTTTGATAGGCGAGTGTGTATTAATCATATCCTAGAAGACTTACCCAGCATGGCCCTGGTCCTTGAGGGCAGGCGGGATGCAGGGTGCAGGAGTCAGGGCAGGGCCTTGGGGATGTGGGGAACTCAGGGCAGGAGGCTGGGTGCCTGGGAGGGTGTGAGTGTGAGGGTTGGGTGTGAGGAAGGGTTGAGGGCAAGGAGTGGTCACTGGCTTCTCCTTGGAGGTGGTCCAGAGCAGCAGGGACTGTGCACTCCCGCTGCTGACCAATGGGGGCTCTCTCCCTCCCCCTGGCCTCTCCCAGGGTGGGGGCAGCCCAAGGGGGTCTGTCTCCTGGGCAGGAGGTCCCACTTACCTTTGTGGCATCAGGCAAGATGGCAGAGCCCAGCCCTGCTGGCCACTCCCTTGGTGGTGCAGTGGCCCCCAGAGACCACTCTGAAGGGTAGCTCTCCCCTGCAACCTCACTGCCCCAGTGAGCACTCTCACATCATGTCCCTCTGGCCAGCAGCCCCTCCCTTTCCATGTTATGGGAAACTGTCCCTTTCCCGGGGCTCCCAGTTCTCCCTGCCTTTGCTTTCAGTTAGGAGAGGAAGCTGTATGGCGAATTTGGTAGCCCTGGCTCTCACCGTTTAGGAGGAGTTCTCGAACAAACAGCCTGGCCGACCGACACACAGATGCAGGCTACATGTAAATGCAGGTATATCCCTGTCCCTGTGACCTCCACCCCATGTATATCCCTGTCCCTGTGACCTCCACCCCATGTATATCCCTGTCTCTGTGACTTCCACTCCATGTATATCCCTGTCTCTGTGACCTCCACTCCATGCATCTGACAAAGTGGTTTTACCCACGGAAGTTTACACCCTAATAAATCTGTTAGTCTTCAAGGTGCCACAGGACTCCTTGTTTTTGCAGATACAGACTAACACAGCGACCCAAGAGATTCCTCATGGCAGCCATTCATGGCCCTAGTCCTTTGTTGCTCTTTTTCTGAACCTTTTCCAATTCCAATAGATCTTTTTGGTGATGGGGGGAGCACATCTGCACACAGCATTCCAGATGTGGGAACCATGGCTTAATAGAGGCAATATGATATTTTCTGGCTTATTATCTATTCTTTTCTGAATGCTTCCCAACACTTTTTTGACTGCTGCTGCACAGAGAGTGGCTGTTTTTGAAGAACTATCCACAATGACTCCAAGATGTCTCGAGCAGTAACAGCTAATTTAGGCCCCATTGTTTTATATGTGTAGTTGGGATCATGTTTTCCAAGGCGTATTTGCATTTATCAACATTAAAACTCGTCTGCCATTTTGTTGCCCAGTCTCCTAGTTCGGTGAGATCCTTTTGCAGCTCTTCACAGTCTGCTGGGCACTTAACTATCTTGAGCAGTTTGGTATCATCTGCAAATTGTTGCCACCTCACTGTTTACCCCTTTCTCCAGATCATTTATGATTGTGTTGAATAGGGCTGGTGCCAGTAGACCCCTGCAGAACACCCCGTTACCTCTCCCTATTCTGAGACCTGACCATTTATTCCGGCCCTTGGTTTCCTACCTTTTAACCAGCTACCAATCCAATAAGCCCGACTCAGTCTGAAAAGGCCGCTGGGTGTCACCGCACATCTCTGCCAGGGCGCACAGGGCCCTGAGACGCGGACAAGTGGCCGGCCAGGCCTGTCTCACCTGGGCTCGCTAGGTGGAGCTCACAGGGCAAGGCAGGAGGGCTGAAGCCCCGGGGCTGTCTCAGAGGGGGGAGGCCCCATGGGCTAACCTGAAGGAAGAGCAGGGATGGAGGGGTTCCTCCAAGGGACTCTAAAGCTGGGACTAGCATGGCTCCTGGGGAGCAAGCCCAGACCTGGGCTGCGAACAGCAAACCTGGAGTCCAGCGATTGCCTGCAACAGGATCTCTGCAAGGCGATTACAGTGGTTCAAAGAGAGCAGGGAGACAACCAGCCATGCTGCTAAGACGGGGCCAAGGGCTCCAAACTGAACTCCGTAACTGGGCTCTCCTGCCTGGGAAGTGCTGGCTTTGCCGACCAGCCTGCTGGCAGGGCAAGGAAACACCTGGGGGGCCCAGGTAGAGAAGCAGCTTGGCTTTCACTAGGGATGATGCCGGTGTGGCTGGTGCCAAGAGAGGTGTGTGATGAGCTCCCCCCCAGCCATTCCCTAGGAGCTGTAGCCCTGTGGAGACCAGCGGGTTGCAGACAAGCTATTTGCAGCAACCATCTTGTCCTTCCGGCACCGTGGGGTGAAGGCACAGGCTGCCCATGGCAAGGGCCTGGGAGATGGGGACCCGAGCCCTGCCTCTGCACCCGTTGCCGAAGGAGGCAGCCCCTGGGGCC